AACAATATCAACTATGTGATCAGTGTGACTTTGAAGACTGCATGAAAGCTGGTAAGACACCATGAAAGGACATGTGAGGAAATATGGGAATAGATGCTTTATTGATTTGCAAAAGATCAAACCTGGATTGTATTTGTTTTGTAATCATAATTATTAATGAACATTTTCTATAACATAAGATATTCTAGATTTTTTGAATAAATTTTCATCCTTGCTCTCTCCCCGACCCCTGTTACCAGGGATTGAACTCAGGACCTTCCACTTGGGAGGCAGGCACAGTGCCACTGAGCTAAATCCCCGGCCCCATCCTTGCCTTTTCTGACATGTGAAGGATCAATATTGCCTGAAACCAGCTAATGTGATGATCTGTTGGTACCTGCTATTTTATTTTAAAGGTTATTGAAGAACACATATTCTTAGGAAAAACAAATCATTTTGATTGAACTATTTTAATAATATGTTGTATAATACAGATTGTCCTCATTTAATGGCTATTCAGTTTCCACAGAGGCATGCTGTTCAGACTTACTACCCACTGCTTGGGCTTGGGACCTGTCTTTTTGGGGGGTACAATTCTGTACATCTTGTTTATAAAGCATCAGTGTCTTTTTTGTACAGTACTGCTTGATAATACTGTGCTATAATTTTTGCTCATTGTACTGTATGATACAGTAATTTTATGTCTGTTACTGTGTGTAAGATTTATACAAATAAACTCTTGGATTTGGATTGGGTAACACACTGTCAAAATCTGATGAGAATTCAGAATCTGAACCCTGGTGATTGGAGGAAGGATAGGGAGATTACGTGTGCATTTTGAAAACTGTCAGTGCCACAGAAGTAGTAGTACCCAAATGATACTACTCAAGGGGAATGCTTGTACTGTGAGCAGAGAAAGGGTACTGAAAGAGTGGGCAGAAACGGGCAGGTTAAAGTCCCACCTAGGATGCTTACTAATCCCTAGGAAGGGGCAGGTGACATGTGGGCTCACCATCAGCCTGGCCTCAGTTCCCAAATCTATTGCCCAAAATTGCACATGGCTCAGCTCACAAGGAGGTTTTAGTGAGGTATGAGGAATATTCACTCTCCTCCTTTCCTGTGCCTCCCTTACCTTTCCCTCTTCTCCCCATCAGGAGAGGAATTCTGATGCTCCCTTACCCTACCAGGGCTTTTGCCATCCACCCTTCCAGGCCACAGGCTATGGGGTCAAGACAAGTGACCAGTTGCTGTCCTGACTAATTTATCTATGTTCTCTGTCAACTGCCTCTCACATCTGGCTAACCTCTCTTCCTTCTACATCCTCTCTTCCGCTGATATGCTTGCTGACCTATCCAGATCAACCACCAGCAGCTTGAGCAAAACTTATGCCTAATGAACTAAAGTGAGCCTTGAACGAGGATTAAAAACTTAAGTGTGACAACACAGTGGATGAATTCTAAGAATGGAGCCCACTCAGGAAATCTAAGACTGTCCTACCTTCAACTACTAGGGTTGAAAGGGTTTGCTTTCTGCAAAACTACAAATAAAAGGAATTAGCTGAAGGGTGGCCTTGCCTGTATTTTCCTCTATAAGTCTGGAATAATTCTTTATGGATATATATAATTTATATGTATAAATTGATAGTTATCTACCAGACAAAATGGCCCCAACTGTCCTACATTCTAAAATGGCTCCCGTTCCTAAAATGGTTCCCACTTAGGAAATGAGCCACTTTGGAAAAGTGAAACCTATCCCCTCTGGAGAAGCAAAACCTAACTTGTTGCTCCACCCTGATACCCATGTGATCCTCTCCTTCCAATCACCGGCGTCCTGTTGATCAACGCTCGTGATACTCTTCCCCCTGCACCACCCTATGTAAACCTCACCCCGGTTGGTCTCACCGTCTCGCCATTGTTCAAGGTAGCCCGGCAGCTCCTTCCCCAATAAAGCCTGCCCTCGGGGGCTCCTGTTTTGGCTTGTTTTCTTTCATAAATATTTATAACAAGTTCAACACTTTGTAATAGCCAGTCTTCTTTAAGCTGATGCATGAGGACCAAAAGAAATTTTTTTCTATTTCCCATAGACAACTATACTGCTTGAAATATATACATCACGCATATTACATATATGTTATACACACACTTGTATTCCAGATTTCTTCATATCTGGTATAGTGTTTCAAGTATGATTAAATATGCTTATGGTTGGGCAAAATAGCTTTGAAAATAGCAGCTCATGTCAGAAGTCCCTGGTTGTCTTGAAGGTATGCTTTATTCGATTTAACAGTGTTACCACAATCTCTTAAGAATGTAATGCTAATAACAGAATACTTTAAAAATGTTAACAGGATGTCCTAATTAAGTGTACATGAAATATGTTAACTGCTTATGAGCTACAGAAATCATTTTAAAAGTTGTCAGAAAAAATGGAATAGTCTGGGGCTGGGGATTTAGCTCAGTGGTTCTGCTGCCTGCCTTGCAAGCACAAGGTCCTGAGTTCAATCCCCGGTACAGCTCCCCCCCCAAAATGGAATAGTCTGATCCTCCTTGAAAAATAAATATTCATGTGTGTTGAACTCTAAGGATCATAGCTGTCACTTGTCATCAGGGAAATGCAAGGTAAAACCATAATAATCTTCTTGGTACTTAGTTTCTTGCAGTTCCTACTGAAGTATCATTTGTTGGCTGCAGATAACATGCAAAGGATCGGTGGTGGGTCACCTAATGGCTACATGATTTTTATCCTCACTTCAACCCCAAAAGGAATTACCTCCCAGGAGCAGACCCTCCAGGTGATGTAGTGGGACTCCTCCATCTTCGTGTTTTGTAGGATGCTCTGTGCTTGAGAATTACCTCAATTAGTTCAAGTTTTCTCAATCAAAAGAATAGCCTGGAAATTCCACCTGAAACTAATTTTGCTAAAGAAACTAATGCATAATTGAAAAATAGATGTTATGAATATTCGGTAATGTATTAACAGTGGTTAAAAATGCTATAAACTTGTGAGTTTGAACAACACAGAATTATTGTTACATTGGTAAGGGCCAGAAGACTGAAATTAACCTCACAGAGCAGGAGTCATCAGCAAGCCTGGTTCTTTCTGGAGGTCCTAGGGGACAATCTCTCTACTTGCCTTTCAGCTTTCAGGGGCCTCTTGAATTCCCTGACTCATGGTCTCTTTTATCACTTCAATCTCTCCTTATGTTGCTCCAACTCTTCCTTGTTTCTTTCATTAATTCTTCCTCCCCTCCTCCTATGAGGAGCCTTGAGATACATCTCATCAGTGTGCTGAAAATGACATATGCATTTTCAATGACTTGAGATTATTATTAATGTTCTACATTATCCAGGAGAATCCCCTTTCTCAAAGTGGACCACAAGGCCAAAGTCCTCTTTGCCTGTAAAGGGAAGATAGTCACAGGTCAGAACTTGCATGTCATTGATTGAGTCATGGTATAATTTAGCCCACACAATAAATTAGTACATTAACAAAATCAAATATCAAGATTGCCATGCTGGTTTTGCCAGCCTTACAAAGTGTCTCACTAGGGTCTGAAGGAAACACTTTATGGCTTTGAGACACCAGTATTTACCAAAGACCACACTTTTTTGCCAAATTGTGTCTATAACTTATAATTTCAACCAGGCATTGTGGCACTAAGGAGGCTGAGGCTGGAGGATTACTTCGAGTTTGAGGGCAGCCTGAACTGCATAGTGAGACCCTGTCTCAAAAAAAAACAAAAACAAAACTTCTAATTTCAGCATTTTCCTTGTGGTTAATTCCACACTTTTCTTTGGAGGAACCTGCAAACCAGTATTGTTACCAGCTGCAGACTGACTCAGAATGTTTTTTATTTACCACTATGTGGCTGTGTGGTCTCAACCAAATGGGTTTCTCACTACTGTGAATTCCTTCATTATTCAAATAATTTCGCATGAATTGAATGCTTTCCTACATTGCTTACAAGCACAAAGTTTCTCTACAGGGTGAATCATTTCATAATTTGAAAACACTCATATTTTTCCACATACATGATTTCTCTTCAATGTGAGACCTCTTAATGTATTCAAAAAGGAGTGGAACACAATGCTTTCCCACATGGCTGGGATACAATTCATAGGGTTTCTCAGCACTGAGTTTTCCTGCATGTCTTCAACAAGAAACAGAACTAAAAATTTTCCAACATTGCTTACATACAAAAGGTTTCTTTCCAGTGTAATTTTTAAAAATACCTTTAAAGTAAGCTGTAATTAGGGAAATGTTCCCACATTGTTTGAATAGTCTCTTCAATATGAGTTATTTTATGTCTGCAAAAAGTAATGAACTACAGAAACTTTTCCCATGTTCCTTGCACAGATTGAGTTTCTCATATGTTTGAGTCATTTCATTTAACAAAAACGGTTTGTGACCAAACTGTGTGACCTTTCAGGAATGTTCTGTTAAGCTCTCCCCACTCACAAGAAGGTTCTATTAAGCTCCGCCCCCTCAAGAAGGTTCTGTAACTCCACCACCCCCCTGCTTCATTGAGCATACTCACCTACCCTGTAGATCCCTATATAAGGAGGCTCTCATTTCTGGTGGAGCACTCAGACTCCTCTGAGCCTGCAGGGACTCACCAGCGTAATAAAAGGTTTCCCTCCACCTCTTCAACTGACAATTAGGATTCTTGAGTCTTCGAAAGAATGCGACCTAGAGCTGCCACGCTGAGCTGTAAAGGAAACCTTCCCACATTGTTTGAATAGAGTCTCTTCAATATGAGTTATTTTATGTCTGCAAAAAGTAATGGAACTACAGAAACCATTCCCATGTTCCTTGCACAGACTGAGTTTCTCTTATGTGTGAGTCGTTTCATGGTATCAAAGGGTACTGGAGCCATGGAAAGCTTTTCCACGTTGGTTACATACTTACATACATAGTTTCTCTCCACTGAGTTCTTTTTATAATTTTTATTAGTACATGTTTGAAGTACATTATTGTATTTAAGGAGTTGTATGTCTTATTTCTATTTCCCTTTCTTCTCCCCTTTCTCCTCCATCTCTAGATCTGCTATCCATTTGTAAAAGCTCTACCCCCTGATCTCTACTGTCTTATACTGACATTTAAATTATTTATACTGAATTTCTCATATAAGAGAAGCCATGCAATATTTAAGCTTATGTGTCTGATTTATTTCACTTAATATTATGGTCTCAAGTTGTATCCCCTCTCCAGTTTGAGTTCTTTCATGAAGTTGAATGGAACCCACAGAATGAAAGGCTTTCCCACATTGTTTAGACAGATATGTTTTCTCTACAGTGTGAGTCCTTTCGTGTCGTCGAAGGGAACTGGAACATACAAAGTCTTTCCCACAAAGGTTACATTCATATGGTCTCTCTCCAGTATGAATTCTTCTGTGCAACTGAAGGGAACTGGAACATATGAAGGCTTTTCCACATTGCTTGCACACATAAGGTCTCTCACCAGTGTGAGTTCTTTCATGTACTTTAAGAGCACTGGAATGACTGAAGGCTTTCCCACACTGCTTACACACACAGGGTTTCTCTCCAGTGTGAGTCCTTTCATGTTTGTGAAGGTCACTGGAACATATGAAGGCTTTCTCACACTGCTTACATTCATAAGGCTTCTCTCCTGTGTGAATTCTTCTATGCTTCTGAAGGGAAGTAGAATATGTGAAGGCTTTCCCACATTGCCTGCATACATAAGGTTTCTCACCAGTATGGGTTCTTTCATGTACTTCAAGAGCACTTGAGCGCCTGAAGGCTTTCCCACACTGCTTACACAAATAGGGTTTCTCTCCAGTGTGAATTCTTTCATGCACACGAAGATTACTAGAAAAACTGAAGACTTTACCACAGGTCATACACACATAATGTTTCTCAAAAGCATGATTTCTTTCATGTTTTAAAAGAGTACTGTCATGAGTGAAGGCTTTTGCACAGAACTTGCATACATAAGGTTTCTCTCCAGTGTGAATTTTTTCGTGTTTCTGAATGCAATGGAAACATCTGAAGGCTTGCCTACAATGCTTACATTCATAGGGTTTCTCTCTAGCACATGTCTTTTTATGCTTCTGAAGGGATTCATAAGTGCAGGCTTTTCCAAGTTTCTTAGATTTACATGACTTCTCTTCACATTCCTGATTCTCATACGGTTTGTGTACAGTATGAGCTCTAAGGGGCATATTTTGGGGTAACTGGTCAATGAAGACTTCTCTACACCTGCAGCTTTCATTTAATTTCACTCCAGGAGTTCTGTTGTTGAATATGTGAGCTGAAGTCTGAAGATCTGGTATTCTGGAGATTTCTCCACACTGGTGATCTTCCTTATGTTCACAGTGACTTCTGTCACAAAAGAAGAGTTAATCAGAATGGGATTATTAATGGTTTTAATAGGTATTAGAATTACATTTTAACATTGTAAGGAAATTACAGGCTTTATATCCTGCATAAATTTTGTGAACAAGATTGCACTAGCAACATGCCTGTCCTGCAGGTATTTTCAAAACAGTAATATTCACATGGACTTTCTTAAGGTTGTATGCTAGGGGCCAGGGATTTAGCTCAGTGGTTCCAGTGCCTGCCTCACAAGTGCAAGGTCCCAAGTTCAATCCCTGGTACCAAAAAAAAAAAAAAGACTTATGCAGGTTAGCTATTTTGCAAACAGTGAACATATAGGTCACATTTAAGTACAGGATCAGTATTTCTTGCCAAAAAATACTCACAAACAGATGCTTTGGAATTCAGATTTTGAAATACTTGCATATACACAACAAAATGCCTTGGAGATGGGACTCAAGAGGAAACATGAAATTTATTAATATATTCCTGGGCTGAGGATTTAGCTCAGTGGTGCCGCCGCCTGCCTCACAAGTACAAGGTCCTGAGTTCAATCCCCGGTACCAAAAAAAAAAAAAATATATATATATATATATATATATATAAAATATTCCTTTTACCCAAGTTATAAAGGTAATTTCATACATTTTAATAGTTTTGAATGAAAAGAAATTTTGTGTGCATTTAACCATCAGAAAAAGTGACTTGTAGCATTCCAATGATGTTCAAGAAGTTTAGGATACTGAAGCAATTAGTATTCTGAATCTTTGGGATAAGGATGTTCAACCCATATTTAGTTTTGGAAAAATGTTCTCACAGAAAATCCTTTTTGATATTGAACTACTATTGTCTGCTTTCTTTAAATGTCACGCCAAATTTAGTGAGGAACACTGCTTTCTCTTGAAACAGCAAATTACCTTAAATTTTTCCTGCAATTTTGGTCTTCATCTTCATTAATCTGGTCTCCATATTTGTGTTCTAAAATATAGACCCAGAAAAATCATTACAAATTATTACATTTAGAAAAACTGTAACATTCTAGATTCACATTATGTTGTGACATACTGAATTTCTTTACCAAACTGTTTCTTTTTTCATATTTCAATTCTCTGAACAGCACTGATGAAGAAGTACTTGCTCTCTGACTAAATGAAGAATGATGTCCTCCTTACCTATGAATGCCAGGTTCCTGAAGGTTTCCTGCATCACTGCTTTGTACAGATTCTTCTGGGAAGGATCCAGCAAAGCCCACTCCTCCAGAGTGAAGTTCACAACCACATCGTCAAAGGTCACTGACTCCTAAAATATGCGAAATATATTTTCAGACGGAATGGTTAAGACTGGAAGCACCCAGGGAATCTGTACTAAACTTGTGAGGTTGGTATACTCTTTCTTCCCATCTTGACAGCTGTTCAGTTTTTCTGATGCCCAATTTCAACACTTTCATACAGAACATGAACACCTGTCTCACTGGTGACTTCAAATATGCTGCTAAGTATCCCTAGTGTCTCTTTCTACAGTGAGTCTAGCACTATCTATCATAGTGAAAGCCCTATCTATCATACTGAACACAAGGAATACCAGCAGTCAAGAGACTTTCTACTCTAGAAATGCTTATTCTTTTTCTTCATTGTTATCTGGGAATGTAAATGGCATACACCTCACAAGAAGAGCTCAACTTGCTATACTACTACACATTACGTGAATTTCACATCAACCTAGAGCCCAGTCATTGCTGCTTGACAAAGTTCCAGCTGGAGGAAAGAAAGGGTGGAACACATCGTACCCTCATGTTTTATTTTTTCTTGCCATAATGTTTATAATTGTTACTCTGATCACAGGAGTCATTGTGTTTGAGACAACAAACTCTCCATGAGGCAAATTGGTAATGATATATTGAAATCTGATCTGGCTCACAAGTCCCAAATTCCAGTTTCTCTTAGTTCTATTGCCACATCCACTTCTAAAGAAACCTCTCCTAAAACCCCGTTTCCCCACTACTATGACTCCCCCTCTTATTGCTGACATTCTTTTTACTAAAGGGGTCTTATGAAGAGATTGAAAGGACAGACTTTAGATGTAAGAAATGGTGGAAAATGGGAAATAGAAAGAACGTTAAGACAGGTAAATGCATTAAGGAGGCAAGTTACTCAATATTTCTCAAAGTGCTGTAAATATCTCCTGCTCATGGACTATGAACCCAAATGGCATTTAGTTAAGATGAATAGAGGTATAGTAAAATAGAGAGCTAATAGCAAACTATATTAACCATTGTGCAGTTTCTCAAGGGCCAGCTGGCGACCACAAGTTTGACACTTAGTTGATTAAATCTTGCTTGTACCCCTGCTGATATAAAGATTTTGATTAAGTTACTTTCTGTTCTGTATAGGTGTGGGTTAATAAGGGGACAATTGTAATTTTTAAATATGTATTCGTGATGTTCAATGAAATGAAACAGCTTAGAGGAACTGTACTTTGTTTAGCAAAATATAACCTTTACTTCGATAGAAAATTGCTAAGGCAACTTAAAATGTAAACATGTTCTGCCCAATGCCTCCCAGCTATTGCTTAAAGATATAAAAATAAAGTAGACCCTGAGACTTATCAGAGGGAACCTGGACATCACTTGTGAAGGTTCTTTTCTCATCGCCGGCCCAGGACATCTCCCCTTCCTACCCTACATCGACTGCAGCTGGTCTGCGGCACAGAATCATGGAACAAATTAATTTTGTGAACCAAGATACCACTGTACCTCTAATTACAGCCTTTGCCTTTTGATCAATTCCCAACTTCTCTCTGCAGGAACCTGAAAACCTGTGTTCTTGATCACCAGCTCCATGCTGGCCCACAATGTTTTTGATTCCAGCTTTACCACTGCATGGCTGTGTGGTCTCAACCAAATGGCTTAATTTCTGAGATTCACATTTTCTTCACCTGAAAAATGTAGTAACAGATGTGTATACTTCCTAAACATGCATAGGCAATAATGTGTTTTGTGACTTAGAGAGTATGCTGCCTATGAAATGCTTATTATAGTATTTGGTGAATTGCAGTACAGAACACATGATAGCCATTCTCAGACTTACCGGCAAGACACATCCTCTCCATCTCAGGTATCCGGCCTCCCCTTTCAGATCATAAACTATATCTGACCGAAGCCTCCTTTGGTGAATGTTCATCAGTGTTTACAATGGAATTGATTTACATTTAATTCAGTTTTATCCATACTCATTTCCGCCATCTTATTTATTATCCCACAAAACTGAAGGGAAAGACTGAACATAAGAGTGGGCAAACACATGCTAAGCAAATATTCACATGAAATATTCACATATTCCACATGAAAGTTTAGGCAGCAGCCTTAATGAAGGCAAACTGGAATGTTAGTAAACAATGATCATATTGCCTGTATTGCGGTGTGTCACTGAAAGCTACCAGTTTCCTAGAGAAAAGGTAGATTATATGGATATGGAAGAAGGCCAAGAACCCTCACACCAGAATGAAGTCAGTGTCTCATCGAGCAGCAGGATAATGTCAAAAGGACTCAAGAGCCTGACCATAAAGAGAATATTGGCCAAAACCACGAAATCTACAGCACCAAAAGGCAGATTCCTTGCAAAGATAATGGAGGAAAGAGCTAAATGATGTCATTAGGAAATAATCAGCTAAACCTAGAAGGTGCAACATTTAACACAACTGGGTCACTCTTATAAACATACGAGGGTCATTAATACTAGGAAGAGAAGTTCAAGAATATTGAAAGAAAATAAGATGTTAAGCATTTGATGCTTATCATTTCAAGAAACCAGATGTAAAATGACTTTAACACAATAAAGCAAACTTTGATTATGGTATGAATGACTAGATATGAAAGGTAGATATAATCAACTGAACTTTTAAAACTCTGAAGTGTGATCTCATTATTTTAGATGTGTTGGGAAAAATTCTTTTTTTTTTGGTGCTGGGGATCAAACTCAGGACCTTGTGCTTGCAAGGCAGACACAGTGCCACTGAGCTACATCCCTGGCTTAAAAGTCATTTTCTAAAGGCAGGCTACTGAGGGTCCATCATGGTAGGACAGAGGTAACAGGGCTCATGTGACACACACAAGACTCTCACTGAGTTCAGCAGGTCCACAGCCACCAGAGTGAATGGAAGCCCAGCCACAGGAAGGCATCTTGAGGAAGGCAGTGGATGAAACCCAGTAACAGGCTTTAGAGTAAAAAGCAGGGCTGCTTCTCAATCCTGGCACTGCTGACAATTCAGGTCTAGAGAATATTCCACCTCGAAAAATGTGAGGAAAGAAGCAAGCAGAGTAGCTGCCCATGGGTGCCCAGGTGCCACTACCCAGTGCCCATGGGGCCTGGCTCTTGTTGAGAGATAGGGCCAGTAAGTGCGATATCACCAGGGAGGGCCTCCTCAGAACAGGGTATGGTGAAGACCACAGGTAGTCAGTCAGGGGGCAGCAGCTGGGACAGGACGGTTGGGGCCTGGGACTGAGAGGAGTGACAGGCACAGTCCTGGACAGGGGCCCAGAATCAGTGAGAAACCCAGAGGTTTGCAGTGGCCAGGACCTATGCAGTCTGGGGGGAGCGAGGAAGAGGAAGGGAGTCTGGAGTGGTGCCAATGAGCATTCGCTCCCCTGTACTTAGTCACGCACACCCACATCAGTGTCTACCCCTTGGTGTTGTCTAACCCTGCTTGACTCATCAGTTCTGCTTCGTAAACACCCCCATCTCTCCTCTCACCCCCATCAACAATCTTGTCCTTTCCCTGCCGTCATCAGCTTCCTCCATGTACCCTCTTCATCACTCGGCACCTCCCTCACTTGTTCTAACCATTAAGATTAATGTAAATACTATAGTATCTCACCATGTCACATCCTGTTCTCCCGCCACGGCACATGCTGCTTCTCAAGGCTGGGAAATTACTGTTAGGTCAGGAACTGGACTCCGCCTCCCTGTGTCCTTTCTCACTGTCCACTTAAATGCCCTCCCTCACCCTCTCTCCTTACTTTCATACCCTCTCAAATTTTTGCCCCCTCTTCTTGTACATAACTACCACAACTGAAACATTTTCTTGTGCTTGTTATACAGGGACAGCATGCAGTATGTGAGAGGCATATGTCTATGAGCAACTGTGAGTGTACTTACTGTTTTTGATTCTATAGTGTGGTGAAGCAGCAGGTTCTCCTTCACCAAGGTTCACTGCTTGGTTCTTCTAACAGTGGGTCTGCTAGTTTACTAATTGGATGCAATCTCCAATCTCCAAAAAGACTCACTTCCCATTCATAATTCCTCCTCCTTTCTCTCTTCGCTTCACCCCCACAAATATCCTCTCAAACCTCCTCACCCTCCCCTCTTCTTTCCAGGTACAAAAATATCAAAACCTGTTTTTTCTCCTTCATCTTTTCTGTTTATTTTTATTCTCTTTTCATTCCTGTTCTTTTCTTTCCCTTTTTAATTCTTTTTATCTTCTCCTATCTCCCAGGCTTTTTGCTTCCATTACTATAATCCTTTTTCTCTTCCTGGGTTATTCAAAGAGTTGAGATCTTTTTTCCTCAAGACCAGTGATCCTTAAACTTCTGTTCTTAGTCATCTAGTAGTTGTTGGATCATTTTTAAAAATTTGTCTTGTTTATTTAGTGTGAGTAAATATTTTACTATATCAACCCTGTAAAGTTATCCCTAAAAATTAAGAAATAAAGATTATCTGTGATAAATCCATGGCAAACCCAAAATAAGAAATTCATGACCACCAATCCAGCATTGCTGAAAATATTAAAAAGAACCCTAAACTGAGACAACTAGATCCCACCACCACCCAAGAGCCTAAAAGAAAGAATACGTCTCATGGGGAAAGTAGTTCAATAAAAGTACATCTTACTTTTCTCATCACTGAGACAAAATACCTGACACCCACAGTTAAAGGAGGAAAGGTTTATTTCAGCTCATAGTTAGTAGAGGTTTCAGTCCATAGTCACCTGGCTTCACGGCAAAGTGGCATAGTGGAGGGACATCACAGAGGAGAAACAGTTCATGGTATGGCAGGCAGAAGGCAGCCAGCAGCAGCAAACCTGCCTTTCCCTTTTATCCCATCCAGGCTATAAACCTTTCCAGTGGTGCCACCCACACCCAGGGTGTGGCTTCTATTTTTGGTAAACCAATTCAGCCACACCCAGAACTATGCTAATTCCAATCTGTGGACTAATTTAGTACCACATGCCCTTAATCCCAGTATCACACACTCTACATCTAGCAAATTCCAAAAAGCCCCACCTATGAGCAGAGGAGGCTTTGGAGGGTCATCTAGATGTAAGCTATAACAAAGTAATATAAAAAAGAATCAACCTCTAGAAAAATAATAACAAGAATCTAAATACCTTTCAATAAAAATACTGAATGTAAATGGTCTTAACTCTCAAAAGAAGTACAAATGGCCAATATGTACATGAAAAAATGTTCAGCATCTTTGGCCATTAAAGAAATGCAAACCAAAACAACACTGAGATTCCAGCTTACTCCAGAATGAATGGCAATTATCAGCACTCAGAAAAGCAACAAATGCCGGTGAGGTTGTAGGGAAAAAGGAACCCTTCTGCACTGCCGGTGGGAATGTAAATTAGTACTGAGGAAAATCAAAGCATTTAGGAAATTTAATTCTGGGACCTCCACACACCTAATTCCCTTCCTCCCAATGAGAACTCTGCTTCATATAGGCTCTGTCTGACCAGTGACCATACACTCAGCCAGAGTCAGTTGATGGTTGTCATCTTTTCCTAACATCACTTCTGATACCAAATGTGTGGTTTGCTGAACACCAACCAATTCTCCAAAACCAACTCTGTCCCACAATTCAATTCTGACATGACCCAGAGGACTGCAGATGCAAATCCAAACATGTGTTTGGTCTATCTGGTGACCAGTTCCCATCCCAAGGTGATATGAGGTGACACAGTGTCACCTCATTTGCATAAATTCAGTTATTGTCTGAAAAGGGCTTAGCATAAACAACCAAAGATCTCCCGGCTGCTCAAGAAATTCCCAGGGTGGGCCAGGGATTTAGCTCAGTGGTTCCGACACCTCTCAAGCACAAGGTCCTGAGTTCAATCCCTGTACCAAAAAGAAAGAAATTCCCAGAGATTTTGGCTTTCTATGTCAGAATCTGAGATGAGGACCAACTTTTTAAAAATTATTTTGCACATCCAAAATAATTTATTTGCACATCTCAAATTCATAAACCCTTTTCTCCAGCCAGCCAAATCCAAAGCTGCCCCTAAGAGACTTTCTTTTTTGGCACAAAGTACACTCTCACAGCACCAACTCCGTGTATGCAAAAGCAAACAGCTGATGATGTTGAATTTCACCCAACTGCTTAATTCTGGTAAACAGCTGTGATTACAAAACCCTCACCTCACAACACTTTCTGGTCTAGAAAGCTAGTGTAGTGCAACGAAATGCCTTCCCGTTACACTTGGATGGTGCTTTTACTTTAATTTGTACGAAGTCCAGACACTTTCTAAAAACCCAATTTTGACTCAAAAATGATCAGGTAAACTGATAAGTAGAACAAAACATGCAGGCAAATGTTCCTTAATTCCCCTCCTTCCTCCGCCCATGTGAACACCACCCTCCATCGATGTCACCAGGCCATGGGTGCGATCAGATTCCTCCCCACCTCTTCTCCACACCTGCGTGCTCTGCCCTGGGAAGCAAGCCCGCTCTGCCTGACCCTCTGCATGCTGCAGACCTTACACTGGGGCCTCTCCTTGCCGCACTCCTTCTGACAAAGTCAGGTCCCCCTCATCAGCTTTTCTTTTTATAACCCGGACGTCATACAGGGCAGCCGGCACACACTGGCGAGTCCCGGAAGCCCCTGGCCTGGACTCGACGTTCCGGGCTATCCTGCCAGCCCTGAGGACCCTGGGCGCGGGGGCAGACAGGTAGTGGACTGAGCCCCGCTTCCCAACACAGAGAATCCGGGCCATAGGAGCTCCGAGGACATGGGGGGGGGGGGGTCCCTCGCCATGGGGGCCCACGCGCGGAGCAGAAATCCCCCTGGCCTCCTTTGGCCAAGGCCCCACGACGGGCAGGACGGAAAACCGGCTTCCAGCCGCCCGGGATGGGAGAGGCCAGGGGCCGCCGCCGCCGCCAGCGCCACCGCACCCGCTTGCAGAGCCTGCGCAGTCACCATTTTCAGGCTCCCGGGCTCCCGGCGTCCTCCCCTCAGCTCCTGAGGTCAGTGGCAGTCACAAAGCAGCGAAGCTCAGCCCACCCAGGACTCTCCTAGAAGCTAGAAAGACCCCCAAAAGGGCGGCGCCGGAAGTGAAGATCCCAGCGCGGCCCCGCCCGCTGTCAATGCCGCTCCTGATTGGGTGGTTCCTACAGTCCCGCCCTGCTTCCTGGAAGTCGTGGCTATAAAGCCCGCCCCCTGCGGCCCGCGGGTCAGAGCCGGCGCTCCCGGAAGCTGCCTGGGCGGAACCGAAAGGATCTCCTCCGACCGTGACTCTTTCCAGGCCAGGCGTCCTCCAGGATGGACACCTAACCCAGTCAAGGGAACAACGGCATTTCAGCAGAGGTTGCCCTGGCTTTCCAGAGTGGGCACCTGCTTCTCGCTGTGCTCACTGGGCCCTCCCTGCTACATACTCCTGGAAATGGGGTAACCGGGAAATTCAGATTGCTCCACACTCAGTCACCCATGGAGACAACCCCCTTACCTCGGAGAGGGGGAGGGTCTCAGGCCAGGCCAGGCCAGACCGTGCTCCCCTGGATCAGAACGGAGGGCCTCCCGGTATCACGCTTGAGGACGTCGGCATGAGCCAGTTGACTTCATGGCCAAGGCCTTCTCGTACCGTATCCAGCAATCTCCCTGTTTTCAGGCAAGAAAGTTAAGACAAGCCAATGAATATTCAGTGTACGGAGTAACTTGGAGTGAGTCACCTCAAGATTTAACTCTGGAAGCTCACCGTGCACTGATACACTTTCCTCACAGTGTGAAGCTTGAACACTAAGATTCACCACTCAGCCTGTCGTCCCAGCCCTAGGGAGGCAGAGGGTCACAGGTTCAACCAGCCCGGAAAACTCAGCAAAACCCTATCTCAGGGTTTTAAAAGGGTTGAAAATTTAACTCATGGGTAGAGTGCTTGGGTAGTGTGTTCCAAACACTGGGTTCAGTCTCCAGCATTGTGGAATAAATAAAAGATTCATCACAGGAAACTCACCTGGAGCCTGCTTAAGGTTCTGACGTAAAGGACTTATCAAATTCATAACCCTTTCTCCAGGAAACTGACTAAAGGAGTCTTTCTGTAAGCCTGAGCTTCACAGATTTTCTTCACATGTACAAGTTACAGATGAACTCCAGCAACTCTATGCCTACCAAAACCAACACTATCCAGAAAATACCCCGTAACAGGCTAGGGATTTAGCTCAGTGGTTCTGCCTCCTGCCTCGAAAGAGCAAGGCCCCGAGTTCGATCCCCAGTACCCCAAAATAAAAAATAAAACCGAATGGTGTTTTTAGACCCGGAATTTAGCTCAGTGGCGCCACCACCTGCCTTGCAAGCACAAGGTCCCAAGTTCAATCCCCGGTACCAAAAAAAAAAACAAACCTCATAACAGCTCATGAGTACAGTAAGAAACAACGGAGCTGAGAAAGTCACTTCCTTCCATCCATTTACATTCAGACAGCACTGTAGAGTCAGGCTGCCTTCCAAAAAATAAAGTAAAAGCTCAAGAAGTTGCCGATGCTTTACACAAAAGCAGTTTTGGATCTCCTAGCCTGACCTTCAGTTGCCTTCACTCTACTCTAACCTCATTAAGGGTTCATAAATATGCACTACATTAATTAAGATCAGAGTGAATTCTGGGATGAGCATGCATGTTAAGAGCCCTGCCCTGTCAATCACACCTAGAGATTCGGGAGGCGGCACCTAAGCTAGGGTGCCTATCCTTTATATTCCAAAAGCCTGATTTATCCACCTGTTGCTGCTGGTGCTGCCGCCACATGCTGTGCCACAGCACCTTTTTCTGTCTGTGCCATATCTTTTTTTTCTTTTTTTTTCTTTGTGCCAGGGATCGAACTCGGGTCCTTGGGCTTGTGCAGCAGGCAGTGAAACCACTGAGCTGTGCCCTGTGCCATATCTTTTGATGGCACAGATGTGCCCCAAGCACAAATTCCCATAATATTCAATATATATAGCTGCATGCTAGTTACTACCGATGTACACTTGGCAATTCTTTACTCATCATACACAAGGACCTGGAGTGTGTTGCTCTGTGCCATGCCAAGACAACCAGATTCTCAATGTCACCTGCATCAGCAAAGGTGTAAGAAATAAAATTTTTAATTGGTCCATATTTCATTAACTACTCCAACAAGCCCTTATTCACAGAATTACCTGGGTCAAATAGCAGGCACACGGGCTGTAAAGTGACTCACATCAGAGATACGGTACTGGGGCAAGGGATAATTGCTAGACAAACAAGTTCTCATGAATTACAGTCCAGAGAAGCCAAAAAGTCATAAATAACTACAAAAAGAATGCACGAAGGAAGGAAGGACTGAAAAGGGAAAGGAGAGAGGGAACTAGCAGGTACTGGCCGGATAGACTGGGGAACCTGGATCCCAGGCCGTGGGAGACAGGAAGAGGGAGTCCTGCAAGCTAAGAATGAAAGCACACAGCTTCTCCGCTCCTGTGTCCTGCCTGTGTGCGGCCCCTCTTCCCAGAGTGTGCGCTAAGCGTCTCGCTTCCGTCCTGCTTCCAGCCTCTGACTTCATCTCGGAGTCTGAACAGTGACTTTTCTCACAGTAGGGTTTTCCTGGTCACCAGTACTCACAGCTTCTGTCGACACTCCTCCTGCAACTGCGCTGGGCAGCCGGAAGCCTCATGCAGGGGAGGGCACTGCCCGGGAAGCACCCAGGACAACTTCACTGCCCTCCATCTGCAGGCTCGAGATGGGCTCAGCTTGCAGCCATTGGTCTTGGCCCTCTGCTCCCCATTCTAGGGTAATTCACCTGCTTCACACCGACATCTACGAGTTCAATGAGACAAAGATACTGAGACCAATTCTTTCTTTCTTTCTTTCTTTTTTTTTTGTACTGGGGATTGAACTCGGTACCTTGCACCTACAAGGCAGGCGCTGGAACCACTAAGCTAAATCCCCAGCCCTAATTCTTTCAATATTAAACCAGGAGAATCTCCCGTTTACTTATAAAATACATAAGAAAAAGGGCCGGGGATTTAGCTCAGTGGTTCCGGCACCTGCCCCGCAAGCTGCAAGCTCAAGGACCCGGTACCAAAAAATAAATAAATAAGAAAAATTCTAAGATACTTTATATAGATTTTAAAACTGTGAAATACTCTTTTGAGAAAACTCAATACTCTTTTGCCATGAGTTATTATTCTCAACTGATCAAACTGACATGAAAAACAACAAAAAATGTGGTATCTTTCCCTTCTTCCTCTGCCCCAGCTCTTCCCTCAGCTTCTTAACTGAAGTTTGCTCCTGGCTGCTTTGTGTCTGGGGACTTGAAAGTTCTGATTGTCCCTTTGAGGCCAAACCTCACCCTTAATGACCATCCAGTAACCAGCATACATGAACACTGGATGCGCCTCAAAGCCCTTGCCATGTCAAAATCTAACTGGCTCCAGGTTGAATCCTCCTGAGGTTCTTTCTCACCTACCTTCATTTCAGTCATCATTTGAAATGATCTAACAGGATGGGTAGTGATGTGGAAGTCAGCACCAAGGATGTTTCTTTGTATCTATTATCTGTAATTTGTTGCAACACCAGGGCATTGAAGAGATGAATGAGTGTCACAGTATTGTAACAGTATTGGGCTGTAGTCTGTGGTTTATTACTCAAAAACTTCTAAGACCCTCTGAAATGAAAAAGACTGTGCTCTCCACGATAATTAAATGATTATTGCTTGGGGACCATTAGTAGCTTTAGGATAGAAAATGGTCTGGCAGATAGAAACACCAAAGCATGCTTAAAGGGTGGAACTTTGAAACTGTAATTATTTTTATTTGTCAAAAGGGTTGGAATGTTGAGCTGCACACCCTAGAACTCTGGACCAAAGAGAAGGGTTGGAGCCTGAGTGAGTCATCAATGTCCCATGAGCTTATCAATCATTACTAGTAATACCTGTGAAGTTTCCTTAGAGATGGGGTGTGGAGAACCTCCGGTTTGGTGAACACACAGAGGTGTTGAGAATTTGGGACATCCAGACGGGACATGGCACATCTGGATGGCCCTTTCCTCTATTCGGCTATTCCTGGGATGTATCTTTTATCATAAGTGAGTACTGCTGAGTAAAGTGTTTTCCTGAGTCCTGTGATTCATTTTACCATATTAGCAAACATGAAGGGAGGGGACGAGGGTGGGAACACTGGAGGGCAGGGTAGACGACTTGGCAGAAATGCGGAGACAACACTGTGACTTACCTCTGGAATTAAGGTCATGTCGGGGGACGGAGCCCTTAAGCCTGTGGGATCAGACCCCAAATCTGCAAAGTGTCAGTGTGCAGTGGAATTGTTGGACGCCCGGGTAGTGTGTGGAGAGGTGGAAAATTGGTTGTCGGCTTGGAAAGAGCCCTCATGTGTGGTGTCAGAACTGCAGCGGGTAAGAACGTCTCACCTACTCCCCCTCCGTGCATCTAACACTCTCCATTCCATCTCTGCAGTCCGTGATACGTCCCACCCTCACCCCCCTCCAGGACACTGCACCCACTCCTCTCTCACCTTGCCTTGGTCTTTCAAAGCTGTCTCTCGTTGTCTACAGTCTGTTCTTCTCCCAGCAGCCAAAGAGAACTGTCAGCAAACAGGAATCTGACTACATCATACACAGCTAAAACCAAACCACTTGTGCAAAAACACTTCTCTGTTTGCAGTATCTAGTCAAGCTGAGGTCTCCCCTATAACCCACAAATTATACTCTTAAGTGCAGATACAAAAGAACCCACGAAGGTTATTCACTAAGTTTAGATAATAGGCATTTGCAGGAGCCCCAAATGGGAGCCAACTGATATATCCATGAATATGTCCACAGCTTATAATATCACGAAGCTTCTTTTTGCATTCATCAAAATTGGTTTTCCACTGTCCTGTGAACAAACCTCTAAAATGGCCATCGTGGTCTTCAACGCACTTCTCCTCACACCTGCCCACCCTCACGGCCAGGGTACAGTAAATGCACTATTGTTAGTCAGGCCCCGAGAGTCTGTGCCGGCTACACTCTCTACATGGAAACCTCTTGCCCACCTGCCTGCCTCATAGGAATCACAGTTTCTCAGATGTCACATTAAACATCACCGCCTCCACTCACCTCCTCCCAAGCCCAGTGCTGTGTCTTTGAACGGCACTGAACTTCCACATACTCCTGGGATTCCCTCATCCCACCTCTGACCATGTTGTTATCCCTGGATACGGGAGAGCTTCCCAAACTGAGAAGCTGAAGGCAGAGACACCTTTGTTCTTATTCACTGGTGATGCTCAGCACCTAGAATATTTTTACATCAATATGAAACAGCTTCACTGACTCTGAGAAAATAAGTGTCAAGATGTTGTGAGAACATACAAATAAAAGTGTATAGGCTGCCTGCCTCGCAAGTGCAAGGTCCCGAGTTCAATCCCCAGTACCAAAAAAAAAAAAATGTACAGGAATGGCTGCAATCAAGAAATCAACCAATAACAAATGCTGGCGGGGGTGTGGGGAGAAAGGAACCCTTCTCCATTG